TTTGGCCCTCTCCCCTTCGCGGAGCTCGGATCCCAGCCCCGGGGCATGGGCCAGCGCGCACGGCACTGGATGGTCGAGGTCATGGCCCTGGCTCTGGGATTCCCGCCGGCCGAGGCCGAGGAAGAGCCGGACCGAGCTCCGACTGATGCTGAGGAGGTGGCACCGCGGACACCGTGGGAGGCGTGCCACGCCTGGTCGTCAGCGGGATCCCGTCTCTGCCTGGGTGCTGTGGCAAGTCGGGCTGCCCCGGGCGCGGAGAGCTCGGGAGGTAGGTCACGGCAGGGCACGGACCCACCGGGCCGGGGCTGGTGAGTGTCCACCAGGGGTGGTCCATGCGGGACGATGTGGGTGGCCGGGGGGAAATGGGACAAACCGCGCGGGCAGGCTCAGCAGTGCCCTCTCGAAGCCAGGGGGCTTGCGTCGCCATCGGCGCATCGACCGGCAGGAAGACCCATTTCTCGGGGATGCCGTGCCATGAGACGGGGGACATCCCGGCGGCGAGGAGGAGAGGGCTCACTGGGAAGCGACGAAAGGCCGCCGACCGGGGAGGCATCTGCAAAGCCACACTGCCGCGACCGTGCCATGATTCCCCGATTGCCAACGCTCGGCGGAGTGCCACCCCGGGCCGGCCGATGAATATCAGGATTATTTAATCGGATTATTTCGCGATGGGAGTCGACTCGGCGCATGTTGGTTGAACGGGGTCAGAGAAGGTGGGCGAATGGCGAGGGTGATTTTAGTTGCGCCATGGGAAGCGACCATGGGCCATCTGGGCCCGAGCAGCCAATGTTTCTTACTCGGGCGAATGTTCGCCATCGCCGAGTGCGTCAAACAATAACAAAAGCCCAGCTGGGGTGGTCTCGGCATCGGGCGCCACGTGGGGCGTCCCCCTGTGTGTGTGCGCAAGTGGGGGCCTCTGATGCTGGTGTTCCCCCCCGGGAGCGACTAAGCCCATGGCGGCACACGGGTCGCCTGTCGGTGGTCCGTGGTGCCGGCTGAGGACATCAGCGCGTGGGCCGAGGGGGCTTTCGGGCTTGACATCCGTGTGGGCTGGTTTGAGTATATTGGGCCGGATGTGAAGCGGGTGGGCGGGGATAGGGCAAGTGTTTGCGAGGATTCCCCGAGGTGGCCCCGGCGGTCGATCGCCCGGGCAAGTCGGGAGAAGGGGTCCCAGCTTCGGCGAAGCCCCTGCGCCCCGGCGAGCATCCTTGGCGAACGAGTCGCCAGGGGGCGTGGGCCCCCTCGAAGGCCATCTGCCTGCCACGCGGGCCACGTGTCGCCCGACGGGGCGCAGGGGCTTCGCCGAAGCCGGGACCCCTTCTCCCGACGTGCCTGGGAGGCGGGGTGTGCGATGGGCCCATGCGGCTGCTCTGTCCCGCCGAGGGGGCCATTTGTGAACGCGGCGATCCAGCGCACTGGCACCGGGTTCGTTGCTGCAGGACGGGCAGGCGCGGGTGGCTTGGGGCAGGTCAGGGCGGGTCGGCGTCATTCGTGGCGCACCTGGGGGAGTCATTGGGCCCAGGATCTTGGGTGGGGGCACACGTGTGCCGTGCCAGGTGCCGGCCCGCCCCGAGCAGATCGGAACGGGACATGCGGCGGGCAGTATGGGCATGGGAGGTGGCCCTGCGACGGACGCCGGGCGAGGCGGGCCGGTGTATGGATGCTCCCGGTCCCTGGCCCGGCAGGCATGATGGTTGACTTGGGGGAAACGGGCGCCGTGCAGCCAAGCTCGGCGCGAGCATGTCCCTGCGGGGGTGTTTTGCTGCAAGGCAGGCAAGGGCACCCTGGCCGAAGGGGACGTGCGGCGCCACGGCCGGGTGCCCCCGTCCGGGATCGGACATGGCAGCGGGGCCACACTGGGGGCCGCCCATCTGAAATGCCGTCTCGGTGATCGGGATCCCATGGACCAAGGGCGTGCTTCCCCGGCACTCGGGTCGGCGCCGAGATGGCGAAGGGGCGTTTCCTTGTGCAATGAGTGTGTGCGCTCCGCCCTGGACGAGGGGCCGATTGCCCGAGCAGATCATGGCGCACTATGCGTGGCGACTGCCAGGCTTGGGGGTCGACGTCCGCGCAGGACGGACCTCTCGTGGCGAATGCCCTCTTGTGTACCGATTCTCTTTCGAGACCTCCGACTGTAGGGGATGACGCCTGCCCGGCATCCTCATTCCGGCCCGTCGGAAGGCCGATGCTGCCCGCCTCGCAGCTCGACAAAAGGAGCGATTCCTGTCTGTCGCCAGGCCCAGGTTGCACATTCTGTTCGCAAACAGTGGCCGCGGCGAAGCACTGTGCCCGGTCCGTCGATGCTGCGCCGCATGCTCTGCCACCAAGAAAGAAGCCCGGAGTCCCGAAAGGTTGGCGACTCCCCCCCCTGGATGTCCCTCAATCCAAATGCTCTACTCCGAGTCGGAGGCACAGTCAACAGCAGAGCGTGGTCAGTCGCTTTCAAGTGTAGCGGATGCATCCCGAGGCAAATCAGATCTTGTATAGGAAGAGTGTGCCCCCCGCGATGGTGGGACATGACTGAGGCCCCCAGATACATCGGGAGCGGGTGTGTGGTTCCCTTGTGTCTGTCTCCCGGGATCGGAAGAGTATATATCACTGGAGAATCGTTCTCAGGGAGGAGTATCTTCTGCTCGAGGAGGGTATTATTGGTCATTGTCTTTCAAGGGTATGCCCAGTGCGGATGGATGGCCAAGGTGTTGCTCGCCATTGGAAGCATGATACAAGACCAAGGACGTGAGTGGTAGACGCCGCTGTCGACCGGGCGGTCCTCGCGTTTGCAGGCTACTCCTCAGCCCGGCGCATGGCGCACTAAGCCCATGAACGATGTGCAGCGAGCTGCCGTTTTTGCTTTGCGACTGTCGCCTCCAAGGTGACGGATCTGGACAGCGCCGCCGGGTGCATGATTGTACGAGTACCAAGCACGTTTAGCGAGAGTCATGGAGCTGATCCGCGATGGCGACCCTGAGTGAATCTTCGTAATCTCCTAAGTCCGGGAGAAGGTAGAGATTCCCCGGGCGACGCAACATCTTCGTGGTGGCTCGCGTGGGCAGATAGCGGCAGGACGATCTAGAATCGGGAGCCTGCGCGTCAAGATGCATGCCAGCTATGGTTATGGAAGGAACGTTTGCACAGCATTCGACTTGTCGGTAATGTTGCTTGTTCCACAAGATGCCGGTAGTCTCTTGCCTCTTTCGTGAATAGCGCTTCTCATCGGGCTAGGACGGTTATGGTATCGATCAGAGTCCTTCCCGATGAGCCCAATGCCTTGGGGACTTCTTTCAGGGACCATACTTGTATCATCAAGGGCGATGATCGTCCGGCATGTTTAGATGCTGCGATCCCACAACAGTGACGACCATCCATGGTGACAACACGAACTTGGTCATGTTCGGGGTGCGGGCAGGGACTCCAAGGTGGTGCAGTCCTGCGTCTCGCGGTATGAGGTCGTGCAATTCCTATATCCGGACAGCCCACACACCCATAGGCATTCCGTGCTGCAAGCCCCAACTAATTCACTGATCGAGTACACATTTAGATCGGGAGCCTTGCAATAAACGTCTCCCCGCCGAGTACGCAGTGACAAATTTCGGTACCCCCTGGTGGTGCGTGGTCATGTCGCTGCCATTACATTGTGCCATGTTGGGTTGTAAAAAGAATAAGCACGGTATCATGCATCATTTACTGTATGGCACGCTAGGAACGTTCCTGGGCAGCGAGCAAAGGAAGGTACCCCCGGTATGTTCTTGAAAGGAGTCTGTCAGTGACGTTCATGACGACGCCGAGTCTACGGACCTGTGCCACGATCGAAGAGCTCACATGGCGTATCGACTCGGTGGATTGTGGCCTGTCGGGGCAGAGATCGATGTTGGACACGTCCTCTACAGGGACTTGGCACTGCTAACGGGCTATGGGGGGAGGGGGGGGGGCGGGCCCTTATTGCCTGGTGGGAACGTGTCTCGTCTCAGCGGGGAACAACTATCTGGCCGGGCAATCTGCAGCTGTGAGATGGATGGGAAGGGGCGGCCATTCCCGGCCGACGGGGAAACCAAGATGCGATGCACATTATGGCAGCCGATGTTTCAAGGAGCAGGGAATGGGACAGTGCCGCGTGACAGATTCAAATACAACCCATGTTGAGATATTCCCCAAAGGATAATCACCACCCTATCAGGCACACTGGCACAGAGGGGCCGTCTCAGCTGTCACTCAATTGCGAAATAATCAACCGGATAGATAGGCCATAGACTCAAATAAAAGACATGCGTAAGGAAAGACATAATGCCCATCCAAAACATTGCCCTCATCCACTCGTCTCAATGCGCTAAGTACATGAAGGGGACAGCAATGTGCAAGGCAAAAAGGAAATACGCTGGCAATTGACATGGTTGTGGGTGCATTGGAGAAAAGGAGGAAAAATGGGAGAGAATGAGCGAAAAAGATAAAAGAAAAGGAGGGAAAGAACAAGGCCTGCTAAGTGCGGCGACAGAGGGAAGAAACGGGGAAAGCGGGGAAAAGTAGATGAAGAAGGGGCAAGAATAGGATTGGGAGAAAAAGCTGGAAAATAAAAAGGGGATGGAAAACCTAGAAGGACCACTTGCTCATAAAGTGAATGAGACGACGAGCAACCCAGGAAGTAGGTTGTGCGTTAGTCCGATTCAAAGCCCGCCAACGACCAACAAGCGCTGAATGAATATCCATCCATGAAGACAACGTGGCGGACGCCAATGACAGACCAGTGATAAGCCGCTCTTTGTCGCGCCGATCTCTTTGGTCAACGGGTATATCGAGGGCATACTGCAGACCGAGGTAATATTGATCAAATGAGAATTGATGGTTTTTCGACCCCATATCCTTGATCCCGAGAACATATTCTGCTAATGATGATAAAAAAGGTCGCAAGAGCTCCTTGGAACAGTCCGTCATGTTGATAGTGTCTTTGTTGGTAGACATAAGGGAAAGAGCCTGGCGAGAGATTGAAAGATTTTCCTCAATGGTAGGAAAATTTAGCATTCTAGTTGTAATCTTGTTAAAAGAGGATTTAACTTGATCTGATAAGGGAGACTCGGATGTCAAGATGGATTTATATAAACGGTCGAAATCAGAAATGATGGTTACATTAGAGGGGCAGTCGGGCTTGGATTCATCATTGAGCACATTATGTTCTTGGTTGAGATTCAGACTCTGGTAAGTGCTTATGAGGTCCGGGAAATGGTTGTTAATGAATCCGCCCCGAGAGAGGCGGCCAATTCTTGTGATCCTACCATCAATGAATTCTCTTTCCACATTCCGTAGGCACCAAGTGAGAACCACATCCAAGTCACTCTGATAGTCTCCGTCAGAGAGCTTTAGCCAATCTGGATTTTCCAATAACGCGACAGCTGAATTTAGAACTGGGCCGGTGAGATTTACCTCCTTGAGAAATGACTTTAGAGTCAATGTGTTGTCGGTCGAATTCCCCCTCATTAAACAAATAAGAATCACCATATTGTAAATGCTGAGAACGGATTTGGCATCTGGGTGTGTGATAATTTTCTCATGGGCATAAGGATTTGAAGAGAAACGGATAGAAAGTTGGCCATCTTCTTTTTGCCTCAATTTAAGTTTCACAAGTCTGTTTTTAATTTTGAGCAGACTGATATTGTTGAGATATGGCATGATGATGAATGCCAGATGAATACGATCGATCGTTTGACCTTGATTCTGAAGCAAGAAATTTATCAGAGTATAACAAAGCATATTAGCCGGATAATCAGGATGAGTTTGGCGATCCTTTGGAACACTCATCATAAACCACTCTGATTCCATATCACGTAAACTGTTGTTTAAGATATCACGGTCTTGGGTTGAAAAGTTCATATCCTTACAGTTGGCATTTGTTCTTTCCCATGACATCTCGTCCAGTTCTTTCCAGTTTCTCTCGAGACATGAGGCAACTCCTAGTTCTTTATCATTATTGCCAAGCGCAGAAAAAAACTTGCGATTTTCGATAGTCTTGGAATAAATTTCATTCTTTTTCATCGAATCATAGTCGCCAATCGACATACAACTACGATTGAAAATATTGTAGACAATCCTTTTCTCCGAGTCCGCATGGAATTGGTGCATTTCCACATGTGTCACGGGAAAAAACTCGTTGATTGACCAGACCAAATAAGAAAGGAAGCGTGATAGCCGAGTAGGATCCCAGATGGTCGGACCATCTCCATTGTCAGAATTATTAGGAGCCCACAGCATATGAGTTTTCTCCCTTGGGATATTGTTTCTAATAAACACACACGTTTTACATTTATCGTTTGACGCAAGACTGCGATTTGAGACATTGCTCATAACGATTGATGGTGCTTTATTTTGATCCATGGAGACCGCAGAAACCTCGGAATACATAGCCTGGTAGTCTTTTTCGTCTATCCATTGGAGAAGGTTGCCCGAAGAGATTTTAAATTGAAGAGTCCAGATCTGACTGTGGACACTCCGGTTATACTTAAACGTAAATTGTTGTTGAAAGACGTAGGATACCTTTGCTAAAGCATAGGTAATATTAGTAAGAGTTTCATTTAATCCTGACTTTACTGCTTCAACTCTCGCAGACTGTTGGTATCCATATAATCCCAAGACCACACACACAGATAATGCAACTGTCTCAATCATGAAATCGCAAACATAGATGACTGCAAACAAAATCCGCCGATGCTCATTCCGTGATACATTGTCGCATACATAACTTAAAGGATTGCCCTCCCGGACAAAGTGTTCAATCGCGGTTATGCGCCTATCAAAATCAATCTCCGAAATGGAGCCATTTCTTTGGAAATTAATACTTCCGCTCTGTGTTTTTAAAGCTATGATCAATTGTGCTTTCAACATCTGTATTTCGGTCAGCCATAACTTATGAACCTTTTTCATAATTTCCAGAGTCGAGTAGCGACTATTGTCAAACAAGCTACGAATGTATAATTTAAGAGCTGAATAGTAAATACAAATTGACGACGTCAGTTCCAGGTTAATATCTCGTGGGATGGATTGTTCAGGTCTTAAAAACTGAAGCTGAAGGCAATCATTACAATGCCCTTCACGGATTTTCTTGGTTTGTTGTTCTTTGTTCATTTTTAGGGGATCCGAGCGTCTCCCGGCCAGGATTCTGTCCATAATTTTATGCCCCAGGAGACCGCTCAGGTGGTTTGAGATATTTTGCCGATGGTTATCATCCACAATGATTATGTTTTCACTTCGAGAATCCGCGGAAAGTTTGTCTTTTTCCAAGCCACCGTAATTGCTTGAGAAATATGGGAGCCGATGAAGGATTATGGAGAGATAATCGAGGTTGAATCCAGGATGCTTCCGACCATACCTCGCCTTTGGTTTGGCTTTGACATAGTCTCCATCTGGGGCGTCGTAACATTCTTTTGCATTTTTTAAGTGATCTCCCAACTGGCCTAACCCAATAATATCATCAACCATTTCATCGACTGTATCTCTGATTGCCACTCCGAGCTCCCTTGTCATTGCTTCACAGCCACTCTTTCTGCTGACATCCGTCTGGTGCATGATCTCACGATAGATCGCGTCTGCAATTTCTTCGGGTTTTATAGAAGAGCATAGTTCATGCTTTAACCAATTGATCCCAGCTAGGACTCCTTCTTCGATTGAAGGCTCGATTGCTGCCTTGACATATTTACAGGGCTGATTATTTATCTCTGCCGCTTTTATCGCCCCACAATACTTATTTCTCACTAGACTGCCTAATTCTTTCTTAAATGATTCCATATGGCTTTCAACCAAAAGCATGATAATCTTGTTGCTTATAAGTTTGATTGCCTCTCCCAATGGCGTCTTGGCCGACTCATTATTGCCTTGAGTATCGGTTTTGATTTCGCCATTAGGTTTACCTTCTAAGTATGTCAATGCCACACCAAATCCCCTTTTTCTTGCTTCCGACTGTTTCTCCTTTAACTTTTTTTTGGTATCTGTTTTAATGTTCGTAATTTTTTGTCGTGTTAAATCGATCACATGTAGAATTGTTTCTTCGATCGAATCATCAGTCGATTTACACGTAGATGTCGTGTGTTTGTTCTTAACCGACTCAACCACCTGTTTTAAGATCAATCCAATTGTCGACTCAATGACCAAAGGATCTGGCGGTCCATGGTCGCTTCCAAGAAACAAGGGAATCCATGGGGTCTTCCGGCTCAACTCTTTTAATATGTTAGTTGAGAATCTCGACTAAACAGCGAAGCCATTCTCTCGGTTTCATAGCGCACCTTGCGAAAAGACCTTTTTCGTTGAATAGCAATCCATGTCCAATATCGAGGAGGCGTTGAAATTAAACTGCTCATTCTCATCCAATACGACCTTTTGCAAAATGGAACTCATAGGTATGAAGCCTTCACCGCGGATCAAGAAATCCGTATCACCGCTGATAAACCAATTAATGATTCATGAGAGTCAGACGCTGATTGATTCAAACAATGGCCTCCATCAATGGAAAAACGCGAGTTCACGGACCTTAAAACAGGAATGCCGAAATCTAGACTCAGCTCCGTCAATAAATCATCAGCTTCGACTGCTGAATTGACGAATGTTAACTTTTTTGGGAACAGTTGCTCTTTGGTCGAGAGGTGCCAAATAATAATTCTTATCAAATGAGGCATCCCATTTTTTAAGGAAGCCAATTGATTAAGATCTTCGTCCGATGGACCCTGTCCTAGTTTTATCGGCTTCGAAGAAGACGGAGGGGGATCTTCCGAGGCAGGTTCACCTACAATGGCCCTTGACGTGCTTCCGCTTAGTTGTAATTAATTTGGGAGAGTCAGTTCAAATTGGTAATTAAGCCTTGATCAATGTAATCATGTTGGGTTGATACATATTGGGGATACGCGAGTACCTTTCTGGCGATTTATATTTCCCATCTTCACACAACGAATATGTGTCATTGCTCTTGTCGATCCGAGGGTCACTATTCATTTTGCTCTTAGGACGCAAGCCGTCGGTCACGAAAATGGGATGAAACTTGAAATAAGACTGTGGTTTAGCAAATATCATAACCGATAGGACATTCGAAGTGGAGAATGCTGATTACATACATTATCTTTTGAAAGAAAATCGATGAAAGACAAGATAAACTTCTCAATCAGATGAGGACATCTGCCTAATTTAATAAGCTCATTCCCCTTTTTGAATTTATGCTCCATGATTGAATAAGAAATATTGCTCACGTCCACTGGAAGTGGCCACATTAAACTTTCCGAAGATTCTTTAACATTCGATTCTTTTTTTGGGGACTCACCATTGCTCGGGTTGGCCGTCAATCGTAGGTGTTCTTTCAGGGTCGTTTTAGCTTTGTCCGAATCATCAAGGAGAGAGTGTAGAAAGGGAATTCCCATCTTCGGGGTGGCCTTGCTGTAATATATGACAGTACGTTAGTCGTGTTCCGAAAGATGGACCATCGCAACCAGGCCAAAGACAAGTTCCAAGTCAGGAGTAAGAATATTGTGGGCGGATGGGATTGTGTGTTTATCTTCAGAAATGTTACCTAGACTATCCTTGATGGATTTGAAGAAGACGAATTATTTCTGACTTAGGGAGTGGGGGAATGAGGGAAATGAGGGAAATGAGGGGAATGAGGGGAATGAGAGGAAGATGCCCCTTTTATGTTTTGACCTGTCCTCAATCGTGCCTCCTTTTATACCCCTGCAGCCCTGACATCTGACCTTGGTCTGTACCTCATCCGTCCCTATTCGCCACGATCCTTACTTGGCCCTTGCATCTCGACACCCACTCGATATGTGTGCGTTTATGAACTACTTGCATCCATCGTCTCCCAAAGCACTCTGAGGCTAGTCGTTCAACACACAAGGCACAACACCTGTATGCGATGATGATGATGATGATGAATATAAAAAAGCAACGATTATTATGATGATCCCACGACTCATAAGTACGATCGAAGACCATCGGCGATACGGGTCGGGTTTCGGAGATGCCCTCGTTTCCAGGCATCCACGTGTTGCCAATGATATGGCATGGACACATGTGCGTTGGTCTCAGGGAATATATTCGCCCGTAGAAGCCCTGGAGTAATAAACATTTAATGAAATGGATCCTGGAAACAAAATGACCGTCGTCTGGTGAGCTCTCTTCGTCCATGCTACGCCGCAACATGGGGGTGTCAGTTTAAGAATTATCTGACTAACCAACCGGGAAACTAGGTTAGTGGTTGGTCAAATGCGCCGGGACTTCCGGGGACCAATCGTTGGCAGTCTTTTCGTTATGACTACAACTACACTGGGCCCCTGCCAGTCATCATGTGTGGAGTGCCTGCCCCACTAGGTCTTATGTATCCATCACTCCCTCTCTGGAGTGAAACGTTGAGAGATGCTTTCCCGGTGAAGCGTCCTTGCCCGATGAGCTCTCTGTGTATGCATCGCCTGTTTGTAGGTCCCGGGCATATGTCACATCCAGCTGGTTGAGGCGGGCTGCCCGGCCGTCGATAGGTTGGCCGACACTCACACAGGAATGAGTGTCGAGCCATGTTCGAGCCGGGTCCGGGAGGAAGCCCTGGAGACGGCCCAACTGGTGTTTCAGCCACGCTCTTGGATGGCATAGGACTGCCGAGGGGGACTCATCGAGCCGAGCCGGTGGCCAGCACGAGGTGTGTTTTGTGATCCTGATCTGGGCTGGAGGCCCAATTCGAAGACCCAGCGCATGGTCGCATCTCCCTTCCCCGCTTGGGCCCCCCGCATGGGCCGAGCCCGGTGGGCCCCATGCCGTGCCTTCCTCGGTGTGTTCTCCCTTCGAAGGAATGGAGTTCGTTGTAACCAAGTGCATCAAGAGCGCGTGTGGCTTCCCACCCTGGAGAGTGACTCAATTTGCTGAGGGGGTTCTCTGCGGTGTCCGCCGCGACCGAATGCGCCGACGAGTGCGAGGCGGCCGTCGTTCGACGCTAAAGAACCACAGTCCGCCTGCGGCCGATGCCTTTCTTGACGCGCCCCCGTGGCCAGGGATCCGACGCTCTCGCCCCTCTATCCCTCTCCCCTGCCTCGCCCCTTCTCTCCTCGGCGGCCGGCCGGCCGGCCCCCTCCACTTCCCGGATTTTGCTCCTGCTCGCTCCCGGATTTTGCTCCTGCTCGCTCCCGGATTTTGCTCCTGCTCACATTGCTGTCTTTGCTCCTGCCTCTCCTCTGGTGATTCGCTTGGGCGGTGCCGGCTGCCCGAACGAACGACGGTGTGTACGGGGCTTGTCCGCCGGGCGCGGCCACGGGCTCGCATGTGCGATGGCATCGCCTGTGGCGTGGTTCGTTGTGTCGTCTCTGTGCCCGTCTCGTTTGGTCGGCCTGGCCCTGCCGCGGTGTGTGCATGGCATGTGTGTGCCCCGTGCCCGGGCTGGCTTTATCGGTCGGCGTGACGGGTCCCTTGGCTTGCACTCACACGTCTGGACTCGTACTCGCGCTTGTGTGCCTTTTTTTCGTGGTCAGTGTGGACTTTTCTCGTCTGATGTCCGTGGTGGTTGGGATTCCCTTCTTTGGTCTGTCATCATCCCCCGGCCGGGAGAGTGTGTCCCGAGGCCGATCCTCGGCATGTGCATGGAGAGTTGTGGAAGAGTGCTATTCCGGCCCTGCCGCGGGCTGTCCTCCATGGGGCCGGTACTCCTCGATTGCCCTTCCCACTTGGTGCCCTGCGTGATTCGGTCTGCGGGACCTGATCTCTCTCTCTGCATGCACCTGCCGGCTGAGGCTGCCTCTGTTCGTCCCGACCAGGGCCGGCCGCGCCGGGCCTCTCGCTCCTGCCGGGCTTGTTGACATGTCGCCATGCCTCTCTTTGCTGTCTTTCGGTTTTACGCGGTCCGGGAGGCTATCCCCGGCCGCGGCCCGTCGTCGGTGGTCCCCGCGGGAAAGGGGAGCGCCCTGGTGCGGTTGGTTGTGACTGGTCGTCCGTTCGGGGTGATGCTCGGGCCGGCCGTGGCGCCTCGCTAGTGCCGCCATCGCCAAAGCCATCGCCTTGCTGGGAAGGATCCCCGGGTGCCATCATGGCGGTTGGATGTTCTTGTTCTGTCCGTGCCCTGCGCTGTGCCCCCTTCCGGGGGTGACTGTGTCGCGGCGGCTGCCTGCCGCCCCGCTGGGCCCGCGATTGCTGCTTGTGGGACTCTGGTCCCTCGTGCCTCCATGGGCTCGCTGCTACGTGTCCGCCGCTCTCGGCCCGTCGGCGGGTCTTCGCGTCGTGCTGGGGAGTGTGCGGGCTCCGAATGGGGCTCCGGTTGGCGTCCCTCGTCCTTCTTGCTGCGAGCCCCGCACCAAGATTGGGGCGCATCGCTGCCGACGCCCACTCGCTCGCGCCCCGCCCGGGTCTCTTGTCCCTGGGCACCTGGGCCGAGGTGGGTGGCGCATCACCAGCGGTCGGTTGAGCCCTGGCTGGTTATTGTCCCCACCACGGCCAACGAGCGTGTACGCAGTGGCGGCTAGCCGGCTATCCAGTGATGGTCGGCCATTGTCGGGTATCCTTCCCTCCTCGTGCCGCCCGCGTTGTGGGGCTTGCGTTTCCATCGCCGGGTGCCTGCCCCTGTGGCCGACCTTTCCGTGTCGCTGCCCCCCGGTCACGACCGCCTGCCATAGGAGGGGGGGTCTATTAATCCTCTGATTGGAAAAGCGCTCCCGGGGGTGTCTGCGTGCCGCCCCTGATGTCGAGGCCCCTCGCGTATACCAGGGAAAGAATTGAATGCCCGCGGCTCTTTTGCAGGGGGGTGAACGGGGGGATGCCACGCATGTGAAAGGTTGAGTGTTTGTGCGCTCGCTCTCGGCCGCGCGACTTTATGGCCGCGTGGCGAGAGGGTGTCCCTGTGCCTCGCCCGGGCGGGGGCCGTGTCGGGGCGGCGCGCCTTCCCCCCTGCCGGCAGATGGCACCGGTGGTGGGAGGGACTCGGTCGCGGGTGTGCGGCGATCGACAATGCGCGGCGCGAGTGCACTGGGTCCGGGATCGCCAGGGGGCCCGGCCGAAAAGCCAGCAAGCGTCCCGTCACACGGCGTGGCCTGTGTGGCCCGTGGCCGCTCGCCGCCCATCTCGGGGCCGGATTGCCGAGGGGCTGGGCGGAATTCTGGCCTCCTGTGCTCCGGGCATGCGCGTGCCTGCCTGCGGGCACACTTCGCTGTTGCATGGCGTACGTGGCCGGTGCGGGTCCCTCAGTGCCAGGCACCGGGTGCTGGGCCCTCCCCGGCCGGGAGGAGCGTCGGTCTCCCGGGTTTGTGGATTGTCCCCATGCGGGCCGCCCTGGCGCGGGTCGCATGTGGCTGTGGCGGGCGCAGGAGGCTCCCCTGGGGGGAGGGGGTGGCTGCGAAAGGGTCGTCGAGACGGGCCGGTTCCCTTGTCGGGGGTTGGCCGGGTGGCGCTGCGGACAGGGCCGGGCATTTCCCTCGGGCGCGAGTGCCCCTGGCTTGGGCGCCCTGCCGGGTGACGCACTGGGCCCGGCCATGGATGTGGGCGTGCGTGCACAGGGAGGTGAAGGTCCACGGGCGGCCATGTGTGTTTGTGCGCGCAGGCGCGTGCCCCGGTGCATCTATATGCGCAGCGTGGAGTAGGGTGCCTGGTGTACGCGCCCGGGCCCGGCATGGGCGTGGCCCCGCCTGGGGGGGGGGTAATGACCCGGGATGTGGCGGCGGCCTGGGCGGCATCGGCGGGCGTCCCGGCGCGGCGAGGGCAGCCAGGAGGGGATGCCCGTGCCCTGGGCGTGGCCCCGGGGCCAGAGCAGCCCTCCGGCGAGCCTGGGCCAGGAGGGCGAGGCGCCTGGCCATCGGTCCGGAGCCGGTGGTATGGCGGCGCCGGCGATGTCTTCGTCGGGGCCGAGCCGGCGCCGCAGCCCAGCCAGGGCAGGACCGGGCGTTGGGATGCCTCCCGCCCTTGCACCTGTCACGCCGCCCCCTTGGAGGCAGGGGGAGGGGCGTGGGTCTGGCCTGGCAGCGCGCTTTGCATGCTCGGGGCTGGCCACGAGGCGGTGGCCACGAGCAGGGCGAGAGGGGGTGTCGAAGGCCCGGCGCTGGCGGATGCGCGTGGTCGTGCCGATCGGCCTCGGGCGGAGGGCCGCCTGGCAGCGCCTTCGCCGGCGGGAGGGTGGGCCAGATCGACCGGCGGGCGGGGGGGGGGGGCGGTGGCGTGCGGGGGGGCTGGCCCTCTCGGGGGGCCGGGTGGGAGATCCGACCGGGACTGCCGCGTGCGCGCCCCCCCTTGGCGGCCTGGACCGGCGGGGGGCGGATTCTGTCCCGGGCGGGCGCCAGGGTCCAACGGACGCGCGTCTGCCAACGGATCGGTTGCTGGGCGGGGCCCTGTGCGGGTGGCACGTGCGGCCGCGTCCCCGCCAGGCGTGTGTGTGTCGCGGCCGGGGGGTGTTTCTCGGTCTGCGGCTCCCTGCCCCCCAATGAGCCGTGGCCATGGGGATTGATGTGCCGGGGCGGTGTGTCTCCCCCGGGGGCGGCGGGCGGGCCAGACATGTGGCCTCCCCTTCCTCCTCTCCCGTTTTTCCTGCCCCCAGCCTCCTCTCTCGGTTGTCCGCGAACGGACGTGCGTGTGGCATCCCCCCCCTGCTGCCGGTCGAGCTGGCCCGAGTGGCGGGCCCGGCGATCGGGCGGGCTGTCTGCCGGCTCGCGGCCGGCGCATGTGCCCCTGGGGCGCGCTACTCCCGGCTTTTTTCCTCGGCTTGCTCGGGCGTGACTTGGCATGTGCCCGCAACGCGTGCGGGGCCGTTCTTTTTGTTCTCCTGCTCGAGTGTGCATGTGTGTGTGTTGTTCTTCCGGCTCTTCGCCCCTTGGGCCGCTGGTTGTGCCGGGGTATGCGCGCATACATGTCCGGCGAAGGGTGCTGCTCGCGGGGAGGCGGGCGGGGCTGGCGGGCGACACGGGCGCGCGTGCACATGTGCCCACGGGCGCGCGCCTGGGGCTTGGCCAAGGGCCCGGGCCTGCTCTCCCCCTCCCGGCGCCCGGGCGCGCGGGTGTTGCCGCGTGTGTGGCTGACCGATGCTCCGTGGCGTCCTCTCGTGTGTCCTGGCTCCCCCCGTCGGGTTCGTCTTGCGGGCCGGGGGTTCTTCTCTCTCTGCTGTGCGAGGTCCTCCCTGTGCCTGGTGGGTGCCCTCCGGCCGGGGGGAGGGAGGCTGTATTTTTCTCTCTGCCCCTCTCGCTGCTCCGGCCTGCCCTCGGGAGTCCGCCGCCCACCCTGGTCCCTGGTGGTTATGGGGTGTGGCTGGCCTGCGGCTTTCCATCGCCTGATGTTCTGTTGCGCCTTTGTGGACACCCGGGGGTGGAATCGGCGCAAGCCGACCTGGTGGAGGCATCCTGTGCGAGGCCCTTGCACCGGTCCGGGTTTTCCGGACGGCAAGACGTCGCCACGGTGGCGGGTCGGCATTTCCCTTTCCCCCTCTCGATGCTGCGGCGCCTCCTCTCCCGGGGGAGGCTGGCGCTCGGCGGCCAGCCAGGGGGCTGTTTGGCGAACCGCGCCGACTGCCGGGGCAGGCGGGCCCCTCCGGCCATGGTGGCCCTGGTGTCGAGCAATTCCCCGGGCAAGTACGGTCGGATCTTTTTTCTCCCTGTGTGCGCGCGCGCCAGGGCACGCTTGGGAGAGAGAGAGCCATGGCCTTTTGGGCAATGGGGTCAATGGCTGTGTGTCGTCCGGCGACGGTTGTTATGGCTATGGGGCGGAGGCGGGGGGGCGCGTGTTTTCGCCTGCGCGACCCCATGCAGGCAGGCCTGCTGGCGAAGCAGGCCAGGCGGCCACCGAGCCGCGTGTCTGTGTGTGTGGAGGGGGGGGGGCCACGCCGGCGCCGCTCCTGGAAGATGAGCGACTGAAGGGGATCTGGCGGGCCGAGTGGGTCACGCTGGCGCGGGGGAGGAGGAGGTCCAGGCGGGAGGGGGCGAGTGCGCGGTGGTGCCGATCGAGAGCGTGGGCCTCGTGCTGCCCTCCCTCGATGTGGGCAAAAGGCTGCCGGGCGGGTGTGCGGCGGTGCTGGGGCCGGTGCCTTGAATGGGCCACCTCCCGGGCCGGTGTTGTGGCCGTGGTCGTTATGGGGCGAGGGCTGCTGGTGACTGTGCTGTTGCCGGGGGCCTGCCGCGTTCTGGCAAGCAGGTGACCGGGGCGGCTGTGGTTGTGGCGTGGCTTCGTGCGTGTGTCTCTTCGCGCGTGCCGGGTCGAAAGGAAAAGTGGCAGGCGCGTGTCGCCGAGGGGGCCCGGCCCGACCCGCGTCGTCGCCGCCGTCCCGTGAGTGCGGATGGGGGGTCATCTTCGAGTCGCCGGGATCTGGCTGGCGCTCCCTGTGGATGTTCCCCGGCGCCGGTGGAGCGAGCCCGCACGACCGGCGGTGCTCGGCGGGTGGTGCCCACACCGCGAGGGGCAGCCGTTTGTGCCACATGGCGGGGGGGCGTCGTCCGCGAGGCGATGCGGAGCCTGCAGGCCGGGGCGGCGCCTCGCTGCTGTCCCCTCCGGGGCAGGGTGCTGTCGGCCTTGGCTGTGGCCAGCTGAGCACCGGGCGGAGCGAGGCGCCAGCCGGGGCCGCAGGCGGCTGTCGCTGCCGACGGTGCCGGTCGAGAGGGCCGGCCCTCGGTGGCATCTCTTCGCGTGTCTGACTGTGTCCGCACACCGGGCAGGCAGGGGGCGCACGCTGCTCCCGGGCAACTGCATCGCCATGGGATCGCACGCGGGGTGGTCCATTGAGATGGGCACATGTGCTTGCGTGTGTGTGTATGAGAGACCGCGGGGCCAGGAGGTGGCGGGCCCGTGGGGGACGCTGCGCGAGGGCGGCGCATGAGCTCGCCCGGGGGCCGATGCGCCTGGCTCGGGGGCGGTGCCGGTCCCCGGGGGCAATGATGCCCCACCGTGCGAGCGGCATCCGTGGGGGCCGTGACGTCGCGTGGCGTGGTCGAAGCATCATACGCGGCTTGACGGGAGTGTCCGTGCGAAGGTGAGGGCGCCCCCGGGGCAGGGACCTGGCACGGGGGGCTGCTCGGGGCAAGGAGCATGACCCCGGCTCGGATGCGTGGGCCCGGTATGTCGGCCAGGCCGGTGGTGGGCAAACGCCGTGCCGGGCGTGACTCAAACAAGATGGGCATTGTGTCCGCCGTGAGCACCGGGAAGCCCCTGGGGGCCGTTCGGCCGGCGTCGGGCTGCACAGAGGCCGCCGTGGCCGGGAAGAGCCGGTCGACGTGCCTATTGGTGTGTATTTTATAACGCGGCGGGTCTCGCGGGCTCGGGGATGTGTGCCATGCCATGTGGCGTACCGGGTGGGCGGATCGTCGGGGTGTACGCGTGCGTGCGCGCGGCAGAATTTGGCTGGTGGTCTGTCCGCAGGTGCTGGGGAGCCTGGGTGGGGGTGCTCAAGCAGCCCATCGTCAGGAAGACATGGGGCAGCAGCGTGTGTGTGTGTGTGGACACGAAGGACCGGTGACGATGCCGATCGGGTGGGAGGGGGGCCTTTTTGGTCGGAACCACAGGGCCCTGGGGCGGCCTGCGCCAGCACAGGATGACACAGAGGGGCAGCGGCTGTGGCAGGCAACACAAGCAACGCCGGGCCCAGGTCAGATGCGTGGCGCTCGTGCGGGGAGGGAGGCGGGGGGCCGCGGGGGGGGGGATGCGGGGATTGTCGCGGGGCGCATCGTGCTTGAGCCGCCGGCAGGCGGGGCGTCACGCGCGCACATCGGGAAGCGTCTTGTGGCCGAGGGACGGGCGCATGTGGCGGCGTGGTGACGGACTGGGCGGGCGCCGTGCGACGGCGCCGGTGCTCGACCGGCCCGCCGCGATGGTGTGCCCGACGACGGCCGAGGCCACCGTGGCCGAGACTCAGACCAAGCGATGCCGGCCGAGGGGCGGATTTCGGCGCGAGACAGGCCGGGCTTATGGTTCCCGGGGCCGGGCACGCGCGCTTTCCCGAGGCACGCGAGGCCCGGCCGGGGTTCCGGGGAGGGGGGGGGGCACCTCCAAACGGCGGGCCGGGCTCGCCGTGCGTGGTCGCCGCCGGCAGCGGTCCCGGTAGCATCGTCAGAGTGCAGGCCGCGGCGAGAGATCAGTCGTCCGGCAGAGGAGGAGATCCAGTCTGGTGTAGCGCCCCGCCGGGGGGGGGAGGCCTGGCCACGGCCGGGAGGAGCAGCGAACGTGGCAGGAGCCGAGGGGGGGGGGCGCCATGGGGCAACCATGGGATACGGGGCACAGGCTGGCCGTGGTGGCCGCCCGGCCAAGGCAAGTGTCAGCCAGGGGGGGAAAGCCGTAGTCCAGGGGCCGAGAGTTCGGGCAGATGCACTCGCATTTGGTATGCCTCGGTGTCGAGGGCGAGGGCAGCCGCGAAGGGCGGAGGGAGGGCACGCAGATCGAAGGACCAGCGGCGCGCCTCGGAGCCAGGGGGCCGGGGAGGACAAGGGGCAGGGCCCAGGAGGCAGGACAAAGAAGGTGCCGACCACGGGCCGGGGCAAGCGCAAGAGCCTGCCCGGCCCTGGTGGCCCCCTCCCCTTGGGGCGGGGGGCGGCGTGGGCCTACGGGTGGTTGTTGGCCGCGTCCTCATGCCGAGAGGGCCGACCGGGCAACACGGACGCATCCCTGCTCGCGTGCGGGAAGACCCGACAATGAGCAAGGGGGGAATGGGGACCGGTGTGGGGTTGTGCAGTCGGCGCGTGGAATGGGCCGGCCGCGCGGCCCCGGCATGGTGGTGCTCTCGGTGAGGCGGCGAGCAGCCGGTTGTTGGCGGACGACGGCGGCCATCTGCGGGTGGTCGACGCGCGACCGGGCAGGGCCGCTCGGCGGCGCGCGGCCATGGCTGTGTCCTGGGAGCGACCGCCACGCGCAGGGGCATGTGCGCGGAGAGGCCCCCCGGGCGACGGGGCTGTCGTCGGAGGCGCGCGTGTCTCTACGTGGCCGTGTGTTCTTGCGCGTCGGTTGTCGCGCGGCCCCGTGGACCCTGGGCGCCCTTGGGGCCCCGGCATGAAGGGGGCATGCACTGCCTGTGGCGGGGGGGCTGCGTCGAGCCTGACCAGGGGCCTTGGCGGGCCGATGAGGCGATGGAGTGATGGGCGGCGGCGCCTGCCCGGCGGGGAGGAAGAGGCAGCGGGCCGGGCCCCATCGTGGCGAAGGGTGGGTCGGAGTGAGGGGGGGGGGGGGGCCTGTTCGTGAGGGCGCCGTTCGGGCGGGGCCCCTGCCTCCGCCTGGCCAGGGGCCTTTGTGCGTGCGCACATATATATATCTGTGTCTGCACATGTGCATGGCCGTGCCATCGGGTGTGCCGGTGTGCGTTCGGGCGTCCGCCCGGCCGGGCGGACGGAGGAGGAGGTGGCACCATGTGCAGGTGCGTCGCGCGAGGCGGCGGCGGCGGCGGCGGCTGCTGGAGCGACATGGCGCGGTGCATCTTGCCCGCGATCCGAGGCGCATCCCCGATGTCCTGCGTGCGTCGCCAAGCATCTCATGCCCTGTGTCTTGCGTCTTGCCGGCTGTGGCGCTCCCCTTTGCCCTCCTGGCCGCCGGTCGGCATGTCGCTCGGTGGTGGCATGCGCGCAGGCCGACTCCCGCCCCCGCGCTGGTATGGGTGCGCAGCTGCGGGCCTTTCCCCCTCGCGCACATGGGTCGATGGCGAGGGGGTCCGCTTTGGGAGGATGGGGCTATGGTGCGCGGCATGCGCGCGAGTTCCCAGCGCCGGATGAGTTGGGCAAGCAGGCGGCGAGGCATCGGCTCGGTGCTGGCCCTAACCATCGGCCCGGCCCGAGCAACAAGGCCCCACGCGATGTGGTGGACTGGCTGGCGGCGAGAGGGGGACTTGGAGAGGCAAGCCATTCGGCGGGCATCCGGGCGCCAGACGCGTACCGTGTGCGCGCGCGCACACGCACTTCTATCGCGTCCATGGCCGATGCTGCGCGCGGCGACCGTCGGGAGGGCGGACAAACAAAGGAGCCCCATGATCGGGTGCCGGGCACACTTGGCACACACGCACCGTGTGGGGGCAAGCAGGTCTCCTTCCGGGATTGCCAAAGACAGAGGGGGCGCTTCTCGGCGCCCGGGAGAGGCTGCCCTGCCGGGAGAGGGGGGAAAAAGGGGAGCCATGTTTCCGGCGGCCGTGTGCCGGCGGAGGGTGGACCGTCCTGCGGCGAAGGCCGATGCTGCGCCTTCGCTTGTCGGAGGGGCCGACAGTCGGCCGCGCGGGGCCAGACGAGCGGGGGGCGGCGCGCTGCGCCGCACTGCCGGGCCCATGAGGTGCGTGGTGCGCGCCGCTGACCGTGGGGCCAGCAGGAGGCGAGTGCAGGAGTTGGGGGCGAGCGAGGGAGCGGCGGCGAAGAAGACAGGCTGTATGCATCAGAGCATGCGGATTGTCCTGGCGCAAAGGGGGGGGGGCCATTCGCCATCTCCGGCAGCCGGCCATGGTGGAGGCTGAGGGAGGGCCGCCCCTCTGTGACGAGGGGGCACATGGGGAAGGGCTGCGCCGGGGGGCGCCAGGTTGGCGGGAGCGCGCGGCGCCATGCCTCCCGTCCTGGCGGATGGCAAGGCGGATGGGCATGTGCTGGGCACGTGGCTCTAGCACATCATGTGCGAGCCTTAGCCAATAATGTCTTTCTTCAAAGGAAAATGCGAATTCATATCATTTGATAATGCGAGCCGGACAGCCAACGGACGGGTTGCTGGATGGGAGGCCCTCCTCGGGTTTGTGTTTGCGGTGTCCTGTGCAGCGGCGTGCGATCTCCTTGTGTGTATGCGCTCGTGCTCGCTGGGGCCGGGCTCCCTCCGGGGGGCTGCTCTTTGCGGAGGGGCTGTGTGTGGGGATCTATTTGTGGGCGTGGGGCGCGCATGCGCGGG